TCCCAGGCGCCGCGCGCTCCCCACCACCACCCGCAGCCAGAGCCAGAGCCACAGCCACATCACACGCCCAACAACGGCACTCCGCGTTCACACCGTACACACCACACCCACCACCACCCCATCACCCACCATCTGCGGCAGGTCAGTGATGGCCATCTTCTTGGCGATGGCCGCCCCCACCGCGCCGCCCAGCCCCAGCGAGCCCAGGATCTGCGCCAGCACCGCGGGGTCGCCGCTGGTGGTGGAGACGGCGCCCAGGGTGGCGGCCAGCCCGGTGCCCACACCCAGCAGGCCCAGCGCGTTGCCCAGCCGCGCCGTCTTCTGGTTGGACAGGCACGCAATGGCGGCGATGCACAGGCCGCCGGAGCCCAGGTACGACAGGGACTCCATCTCAGGGTGGCCTGCGGGGGTGGGGAGGAGGAGGGGCGGGCAGGCAGCGGTGGTGTGGTGGCAGGGCAGGCGGGGGCGGCGTGGTGGCGGGGCAGGCGGCGGTGGGTGGCGGGGATCAGACAAAGAGGGCAGGCGTGCGCTGGCAGGCGGCGGGCTGTGTGCATGTGTGGGCGGCACATGTATGGCCGGGGCCGCGCCACCAGCCGTGCCAGTCGCCGCGCTGCCGCTGCCGCTGCCGCTGGCGCTGGCAGTGCTGCGGGACCGCTCACCCGTGAAGTGCCCCGCTGCGTAGATGGCGAGCATGGCGGCGCCCGGGATGGCGTACAGCTGGTTGTACTCCGGGGGGTCGTCGGGGCGCTTGAACATGTCCAACATGCGCTGCGGTACGGGGGCGGTACCGGGGGCGGTACGGTGGGTGGTGGTGCCGGAATGAGGCCGCGAGGGCAGGGGGGGAACCCCGTGCGCCGCAGGGTGGGGCGTGGCGACGGCAGGGGCACAGGTGGGGAGCAAGGGAGCCCCGGGCGAAGGCCAGGAGGCGGCGGCAGGGGCGGACCGCTGCTTTTGACGGCCAGCAAGGCCCAGGCCTCCTTGCTGGCACGCACCCCCGAGCCCCCATCTCGGCCCCCCCCACCACCAGCCACCAACCTGGGGATGGTTGAAGCCGCCGCCGATGTTGACGGCAGAGGCCAGCATGGCGCCGGCGGCCAGCGTCTGGGCGGGGGTGTTGGGCACCAGGCCGCCGCCCGCCAGCACCATGCCGCCCACGGCTGTGAGGCCGGAGATGGCGTTGGTGACGGACATGAGCGGGGAGTGGAGGGCGGGGGTGACACCCCACACCGTCTGGTAGCCGCACTGCACAGGAAGGGGGAGGGGGGCAGGGGCGGCGGGCTGGTCACAGCACAGCGGGCGGGCACGAGGCACGAACACCCACACACACCCACACACACCCACACAAGCGGGTGGCGGCGGGCTGGTCGCGGCACAGCGGCAGGACGGACACGCGCCCCCCAGCCCCACGGCGGCCGCATGGCAGGTAGCCCCGCCCGCTGCGCGGTTGCGGCGTGGCCTCCCCGCCTGCCCGCCTGCCCATGCACACTACCCCCGCCAAACCACACTCCCACCCACACACACACACAGCCCCTCCCCCCCCCCCAGCTCACGATGGAGGCCAGGCCGAACTTGGTCATCATGGAGGAAAAAGCTGAGGAGGGGGAGACGGCGCCCAGGCCCACGATGCACGACAGCCCCAGCGTGGTGGTCAGCGCGCTGCGCAGCGTGTCGGCGTAAATCTCCTCCGGGGTCAGCTCCTTCTTGCCCTTGGCCTCCTCCTTGCGCGGCGGCGGCGCGGCGGGGGCCGCCAGCGGCGGCGCAGGCCACCGCAGCTCGCCGCCCTCCAGCACCAGCGCGCCCCTGCGGGGGTGGTGGTGGTGGTGTGGTGTGGTGTGGGGGGGTGGTTTGGGGGGTGGTGTGGGGGGTGGGGCGAGGGCACCAGGGCCGCGCTGCCGTGGCGCATACATCCAAAGCACGCCTCCTAGGGCACGTTTGGAGCGGGCCGGCCACCAGCAGAGCGGCCCCAGCCCTCGCAGGGTGCCGCGGCACGGCCGCTTGCTTCCTTCCACACGCCGCCGCCGCCGCCGCAGCCACCACCACAGCCCTCCCCGACTGCGCCTGCCCCTCCCCAAGGAACCCCTCCCCAAAGCCCCCCCCACCCCCACCTGACCGCGTCGTCCTTGTGGTCCACCAGGAAGGTTTCCTTGTGGCCGGTGAAGGGCCCCATGGACAGCAGGAACTTGGAGATGTTGTTGGAGAACAGGGTGGAGGACTGGGCGGGGAGGCGGGAGGGCATGTCGGTGTAACCGATGCACGTCACACCGCCGTGCTTGGCCACCTGCCCCGCAACCGTCGTTTCGATGTTGCCGCCCTGCTCGGCGGCCAGGTCGACTGCAGGAAGGGGGTGAGGGAGGGGGGCGGCGGGCCAGGATGGGTGGGGGGACGCGAGCGGTGGGAGGGAGGGCAGGT